AGTTATATGCCATAACCAAGTGGGATTTATCACAAAAATGCAACAAAATTTGTGTAGTGATTTGGCAACAAAATATCTGAAAATGAAGAAAATAATGTTATTCAAAGTAGCATGCAAATGAATAAAATACTCAGGGATAAATCTAAAAAGGAAGTTACACTGTACAATAAAATTCTGAGAGAAATTAAGATATAATTAAATGAAGAGATATATACCATATTTATGGATTAGAAGACTCAATATTGCTATGATGGCAATTTCTCCATCGACTTTTTAATATTCATTTAAAGTGAACTATATTATTTCATCTTATTCATTTAAAATTAACTTATTCTGAGTGCCTAAATGAAGTGTTCTGGATCAGAGATAGATTTTTACATTAAGTACCTCACAATAAATAATAAGCCCATCTTGCCCTCACTGCCACTCCCACTGCCTGGAGGTAGTTTTTACCTTCAGGGAAGCATATGAGGGCCAATTCACTTTCCCTGCACAAGTGACTAGATACCCCATAGGCAAGGGACAAAGAAAAATTGTTTTCTCCGCTTTGAAAGGTGAAGCCTTCCTTACTTTAGCATTTTGGTATGCAAATAAATACGTCATTCTTCCTTGAAATGTAACTGCATTCCCAGGTGAAAGTGTTCAGTTCTCTCTGGCGCCTTGGCGCACTTACCCTCTGGACCTGGTTCAGGGATACAACCATTGGCTTCTCCAAGAGATAAGGTTGGTTTTACTCTCTTTGGGGATCAGATCAGTTTAGACAAATGGAATGTGAAATGTTTCTTTTAGGCTTTAGGGCTTTTATACAGGAAATTTTATTTCCCTGAATCCCCCAAATTCATCTATAGATTCAGTGCAATCCCTATCAAAGTCATAGCAGGCTTCTTTGTAAAGATAGACAAGCTGATCCTAAAATTTATATGGAAATACAAATGATTCTTAAAAAAGCAAAATTTGAAGATTTACCCTCCTGTGATTTCAAAACCTACTATAAAGCTATGATAATCAAGACAATGCATAATTAGTATAAGGATATACTTATACACATGCATACACACACATCAGTGGAACAGGATAGATTCTAGAAATATATCCTCTCATTTATGGTAAACTGGTTTTTGACAAAGATGCCAAGGCAATCCAGTGGAGAAGTAGAACAGATGGTCAGATGGTGCTGAACAATTATATATTCTACACAAAAAATTGAACCTGAGACTTGACCTCATAACACAAAAATTAATTCAAAATGGATCATAGTACAAAATATAAGTACAAAATATACTAAAACTATACACTGCTGGAAAAAAAACTGTAAGGATAATTCTTTGTGACCTCAGTTCAGGCAAAGATTTATGGCATCAGCAGCATGACCCATAGAAGAAAAATTCATAAATTGAACTCATATAACTTAAAAACTCCTTGCTCTTTAAAATATATCCTTAGGTGAATGAAAAAATTCATAATCTGGGAGCAATATTTATAAATTATGTATCTGGTAAAGATCTTGAATCCAGAATATATAACAATCTTTTACAACCCAATAAGAAAATAGAATTTAAGCTGGGTAAGAGATTGAATAGACATTTCGCTAAAGAGGATACATAAACAGCTACTAAGCACATGGGAATATGCTCAACATTATTAGTCATTAGGGACATGCAAACTAAAATCACATCTATAGAACAGCTATAAGCAAACAGATCATTCCCAGTGCTGATGAGGATATAGAAACCTGGACCTCTAGTGGCAATATAAAATACAGTTTCTTTGGAAATGTTTTGGCAGTTTTTAAAAAGTTAAACATACATGTGGCAGGCACTTTATGACATAGACTTTATGACATTGGTTCCCTCCTGCTGGTATTCATACCCCGTGTTTCCTTTCCTGAGTATGAGCCAGTAGCACATGGCAAAGGTGATGGAATGTCTCTTCTATACTTAAATTACAAGGGATTGTGACTTCCATCTTCCTTGTAGACTCTCCCTACTTCCTTCCTGGCTTGCAGGTTTTGTTGGAGCAAGCTGTAAGGGGGCAGGGCATGAGAGTGAAGCCTTCAGCTCAGTAGCCCACCATGAACTGAATAAGCCCACCAGAAACTAGTAACCACCCAGTGAGCTTAGAAGTGGATCTTTTCCTAGTTGAGCCTTCAGATGAGATCATAGAGCCTGGGCTGACATCCTGATTATGATCTTGTGAGACACCTTGAAGCAAAGGTTGTAGCTAAGTTGTGCCAAGACTCCTGACCCATGGAAGCTATGTGATAATAACTATGTATTGTTTGAATGGTATATCCACTCAACATAATACTGCTCAGCAGTAAAAGTAATGATGCAGCAATGCTAAGTGAAGGAAGCCAGGCACAAAACATTCACAGTTTATGATTCCATTAATAAAGAAATTTCTAGAAAAAGCAATACTATAGAGAAAATGCAAACCAGTGATTTCTTGGGACAGTGAGGGTGGGGATTGACTGAAAGTGCATGGCAGGGAATTTTGGGGAAATGACTATAATCTTTTAAAACTGGATTTGTGGTTGCTTAATATGGAAATCTATTAGAAATTTTCAAACTACCGTGACTGTGTGAATTATATGGTATGTAAATCAAATGTCAATACAGCTAGAAAAAATATTTTTGTATAAGGAAATACAGATTTAATCTCCATTTGTTGCAGTGTTCAATGTGCTCTAATATTTACAGATTAATTTTAATTTCACCTAATGGATGTACTTCTCATGCAGTTTATGCCACCTCTCTCTTTCTGTGCACAGCTTTCCATCATGCTCCATGTCTGTTCCTAAGGCCACCTCCCTCACCCCAACCCTGCCTGTTTGGTACTTCCTTTTGGCATTTTGGGCACAGAAATGTGATGACCAGAGTCCATTTAGACTTCTGGTATTATGGACACCTCTGTGAATCCATTTCACTTCTCCAGTTTTGTCTTCTTCTTTTCCAAAACTGCATTTTCCAGAAACAATGAGCACATTCTAATACTAAACCAGCTCTTCACTCATCCATGGCTCCTAACATTCAACTATAATCATTTCTGGAATCTGCATCAATAAAGGGAAAGATATTATGCATTTCTTTTTTTCCCTGTGAAATGCATTTGTGTCTCTAAGAGTTCATTTTTAAATATGAAAAAAAAACAAGCCAAGATTTGTTTCCATGCTTTTCTTTCTTTCTTCTGGGAGCATTGTGGAATTATCTGAGAACTGAATTGAGAGTATATTTTCCCTGGGGTTTCTTCCAAGCCAGTAAACTCCCAGAGGGCCTTACAAGTAGGTCCCTCAGCTAATACTCAGAACTTTCTCAACTCTGTTAGACTTTATTCTAGTGCGTATTTTGATCTTTGTTTCACTCTCTTCCTTTAAAATTGTCTTCTTAGATTTTTAACTCAATGAGCACTTAGAATTTTTAAAGGACGATGAATGGTTGGTATGGAAGTTCTCCCCCTACATTACTTTGAAGTATTCTGAGCAGATATTGTGAACACTTATCAGAGCAGAATATTTGTACCATCGATGGATAAAGCCTCCCAAGGAGGCTAGGGCAGCCAGGACACTGCTGATGTGCTAGGCTTGTGCCACACAGAATCAGGACCAGCTTCAGGTGTCCTTGTAGAACACTGGACTAGGGGCTAGGCACCTGCTCTTGTCCCCATTCCAATATGTGCTAGTCATGTTACCCTAAGGAAGTTTTAACTTCTGTGAGCTCCAGTTACCTCCTATATAAATTGAAGATGAATCAGGATACTCTGACCATCTTGCAAGGTTGTTTTAAGGGTTGAATGAGATAAAATTTAATAAAGGTATTTTGTAAACCATTTAAGAGAGTTTATAGTATTCTTATTAAACATTTAAGCATAATGTAATAAAGTAGGAGCCTAGAGAAGACTTTTTTTTAAATTTTTATTTATTTATGATAGTCACACAGAGAGAAAGAGAGAGGCAGAGACACAGGCAGAGGGAGAAGCAGGCTCCATGCACTGGGAGCCCGACGTGGGATTTGACCCGGGGTCTCCAGGACTGCTGCGCCACCCAGGGATCCCTAGAGACTTTTTTTTAAAAAAAATATCCTATCCAGCTTTAATAAAGCCAAGACTATTTTAGTATTGATAACCCCGTGAATTACTATAGAACACAGATAGTCTATATAAATCTGTAAACAAGATAAACATTGAAAGTGTGTGGATGCTTTGTTTAGAGTAAAAAAAAAAATATCTGGTTTCTGTTTCCTTTTATACCCTGAAGGATATTTCAATCTCAGTCATCCTAGGTTGTGTCTGATTCTGCTTAAACTTCATTTTGTAAATTCTAGAAAATATTGAAATTACTGTGGACAAAATTTTTAGGCTCTCTTTAACTACTAGTTACTCAATGTTTCCCTTGCCATTTCTGGAGTCAGACTAGGTATCTGGGTAGGAAGAGAGTGTTGCGTTGCTCACATTTCTCCATGACCTCTGATGAGCTCCACATTTTCCTTCTCTGAGAGGCATACACCTAATTACACGTCAGGGCAGTGGGCAGGCAAGGTGAACCCCAAGAACTCTTCACCCCATTCTTACACACACACACACACACACACACAATGTATAGTCAGAGTTTCTTTAGACAGGCCTGGGAAATAGCAATTTTTCTGCCTTTTACAGAAGTTGTAATAGTCACTTAAATAACTTACAAGGAAGGCTTTTTAGATTTATTACCATTGTTGAGGAATTTCCTGGAGGTATGACTATAGATCATGGAAGCAAAAAGTGGTACATATGGATATTAAATTTAAATTAAATTAAATCTCCAGTCTCCAATTGGAGATACAAAAGCCAAAGCCTCATGTCAGCAGGAAGAGGGCGGAAAAGATTTTCCTTTTTGCCTTTAGATTCCCATAACCCATATCAAATATTGAAGAAAATCAGTCATTTCGTAAATTCAAATGCTATTCTGAAGCAAAATTGTTTTCAGCGAATATAGGAACATAATTCTCTGTTTCTTCTTCCTGCAGGCTCGGCCCGTGGATTATCCTAGGGACTACCTTTCTCACCAGGTTCCCATATCCTTTCACAAACACTGGAACATTGATCCAGTAAAAGTGTATTTCACGTGGCTGGCACCCGGTGAGGAAGACAAAGCCAGGCAGGAGACACAGAAGGGCTTTAAGGAAGAGTTATAAAGCGTGCTAGCCTGGGAGCACAGTTTGGGTCGGAGACTGGCATCGTCCTGCTGAGCGGTGAGCATACTGTTGCCACATGCCACATGGCATTGGAAGCCTTTTGACTTTAGGTTGAAATTACATATATGGTATTTTTTGAGGCGGGGGGCAGGGAACAGAGTCATAGGGAAAACCCTGGGATTTTTTTTTTCTGGGGGAAAAAAAGCATTTGCTTTTGCATTATGCAATTATTGTTAATATACAATGATTACTGTGTATTTTTTCAAGTTGTGGTATAGCAGCTTTATTACTGTCACAGAAAAATAAATGGTACCAGAAGTCTCCCTCCTATTTTCTCTCTTCATTATAAAGTGTCAGATGGGTATGAGACTGGAAAGACATGGCTGTATTTATATATGTGCTAGATACATATATGTGTGTGTATATATATATATAGTACATATAGAATATATACTTTATACATATAGTATATATTCTATACTTTAGATAGAGGAGGCAACATCTGTTGACATGGATATTGCCATGGTGTAAACTTTTTGACTGTATTATTGATGATGAAAATTATTTTCTGGTTATTCAGTAGGAATAATGCTGTAGTAAATATCATTCATAAAACATCATAAAAGTCTAGATATGAAGTCCCCCATAGTCTGTAATCAAGGTTGTTATGTTTTATCTATTGTTCTGTTTTTGCCTCATAAAAAGAGAATAAGAAGTCTTCTGTTAGAACTTTCTATTTCTTTAGAGGTTCATCTGTGTTCTATTTCTCCCCAAAGCCCTATCTTTATGACCTCCTTGTAACACAAAAGTGTACTGGATGCTGCCAGAAAATAGTGTTTTCAATATTTAAAGACAATGTTGTCATGATTTATTCAAGTCAGTGAGCTCTGTGTAAGTCTCAGGAAGTGAATTAAATTAATTTGTACCTGATGTTTTACTCTTATTTTTCCTTGAATGTTACTTAATGACTCCCTGCTGGCTCATAATAGACCCTCCAGTGTACCATGAAACCCTCGTGGAAAGACAGCATGGTGATTTGGCAATTACCCTGGTTCTTACAGAATGAGATTTGAACACAGTATTTTTTATTTTCAAATCATATCTTTAATATATAGTAATTTAACACATTATTAATTTGTAAAAAGTACTCTGATGTTTTAATTATAGAATTCTGTTTTTCTAAGAGTGTTTGCATAAAATTTGATTTTCGTATGTCTTAAACTAATTTTGGTCTAGTAAAATACTTTCCTTTTTTTAAAAAAATAAAAATTGCTATTCGTTAACTTTGCTTATAAGGCTCATAATTATAGTGAAGCGCAGGGTTTTAAAGCCATACCACCAAAAGTACCCATGTGTGTTTTTTTTTAACAATATTTTTTTCTTGTAGCTTAGACTGGACTCATTTCCAAAATGATGCAATAGTATTTTTACCATTGTTCCAAATTAGCAAATACCAGGACTGGTGTGTTTTCAGTGGTACCTGAATGCACTGGATTTGTTTCTGTGAAAGTGGATTTTTGTGGCCTGTGCAAGGAATGGATCGGAGATGATGAACTGGATGTGAAGCACCCTAAGGATTTATAGATCTATCAAACTATTGGTGGTGACATCAGCATTGTTGTCATAGCTGGGCTGGTTGTCATGGCTACTGTTGCAGAGGCCTCCGGGTCACCTGTGATAAAATCCCCCTGGAGGGCCTGGCTGCCTGATCCAGTGGAGAAGAGGCTTTGGTTCTTCCTGCTCCTGCTCCTACTTGCCACACTCAGAATACAGCATATTCGTTTGATAGGACTGAACCAGCATCTGTATGTGAAGAGCCACGTCAAGTTTTCTTATGATCAGTGCCTTCTACTGATACCGGAGCACCTCCTCTGGTACTTGTTGGTGTTTTGTTAATTATGTTTAGTTTCTGGAACTATGTAAGCCTAACCACAAATAAAAGGTCTTTGCCTAAGTTACTCTTTCCTCCAATGTATTCATTAGTCCAACCTAGAGTGGGAAGGGCAAGGGGAAAAAGAATTAATGGAGTCAGTGGGAAAAGCTGGTGGCTTGGTAAACAGTTTTCAGAGAGAAAAATTAATAAGCTATCCTTTTTTAAATATTTTATTTACTTATTAATGAAAGACACACACACACAGAGAGAGAGAGAGAGAGAGAGAGAGAGAGAGGCAGAGACACAGGCAGAGGGAGAAGCAGGCTCGATGCAGGACTCGATCCCGGGACTCCAGGATCACGCCCTGGGCTGAAGGCAGGCGCTAAACTGCTGAGCCACCCAGGGATCCCCCAATAAGCTATCCTTTTAAGAGAAAACCATCAGACATTGAAGATATATTTATACTAAGTCCATGAAATGATCATCTATCTTATTATTTAAAAGTGGGGATGTCATTTTGGAATGGATTCCCATACAGTTCCTATCTTAAGAAATACATTTTGGATCTGAACTTCCCAGGACAGATATTGTCCTAGTCACATTTCTTTTGCCCCCCCCCCCTTTTTTTTTTAATAGGCAGAGGAAGAAGCAGGCTCCATGCACCGGGAGCCCGACGTGGGATTCGATCCCAGGTCTCCAGGATCACGCCCTGGGCCAAAGGCAGGCGCTAAACTGCTGCGACACCCAGGGATCCCCTCTCTTGCCTTTTTAATAAGCATTTACTCCCAGATGGTTATTTTTATCCTAGGGATGTCAATAGCTGGAATGCTATTTTTGCTTTTAAGGCACTTCTGATATAACTAAAGCCACGTTATCTATGTAGGATTTTTACATCTTGTAGCTAAATTAGAAATTTAGACACAAACATAGCCCTTATGGAATGTTCAGGAAGATAAAACAGTAGCACAAAGTGATTATTTGCACAGGTTTATCAATGTTTTCTGAATTTCCTGATTATTGAATACCTTAAGTGTTTCCACATCCGTATCCATTAAAATTGTTTGTTTTTCCTCAAAAATCCAATAGAAGAATGCTGGAAGAATTTTAAGAATGTTTCTATTGTCTTTCATTCATAATCAGAGATGTAATTTCAGGGCACCTGGGTGGCTCAGTTAAATGTCTACTTTCAGCTCATTATCTCTAGTCCCTGGGATTGAGCCCCACATGGGGGGTGGGGTCCCTGCTCAGCAGGAGTCTGCTTCTCTGTCTGCTCCTCCCCCGCTCATGCTCTCATTCTCTCTCTCAAAAAAAAAATGTTTTTTAAAAATCAGAGATATAATTTCTGTGGACTAAAATGAATGAATCAATCAATAGATTCATTCAGCAGCTGTTTATTAAACACCTACTACGTAGCAGACATTCCAGGATGCCCTTTATCTGTCCTCTTCGTCACTCTGCCCCTGGCATCTTTGAATACCTGGCACACAGTAGGTAGTGTTGTTTTATATTCCCATGAATTCTATAAACATGTCACCTGCAAAATGTGTTTTCCTCCTCCCTGTAGAACGTGAGGTGTTTGTATCTCATGTTGTCTTTTAGTGCATGTCTTCCCTTAAGAGGCATTTATATTCCTTGTAGGAGTAACCGTAGGTGGAAGGAGAAGGAATGTAAAGTAGTAAACAAGTGAAGGAACAAGATAATTTCTCATAATGATAAATGTTATCATAAATTTTAAGATAGAACGTTCTAGGGAATGTCCTATGTGATGAGAATGATCACATAGAGAGTGAGGTTGGCACAAACAGGATACCATGTTAGACCTGGAGACTACATTGGGTGGGAGTGGTCAGAGAAGGCCTCTTTGAGAAGGTGATGTTTGAGCAAAGATCCAAAGGACTAGAAGGGATCAGGAATGCAAGGTATATTCATGGATTGTTCTAGGCAGAGGGAACAGGAAATGTGAAGGTTCAAAGGTGGGAACAAGATAGTTGTGGGAAAAGACACAACTTCGTGTGTGTGGCACTGCTTAGCTATCATCATTGTGTGACCATTGCTTAGCTATCATCATTACCTGACATCCATGCGATGTCAAATAAATAATTGATAGGGAAATCTGGAGATCAGCCAGAGGAGTCAAGCCTGGAGATATAATTTTCGAACTCATCAGCATGTTACAGGTTTTGAAAATCACAAGATTGAATGAGGTCATCTAGGGAGAAAGTACAAGAGAGAACAGAACAAGGAGGTCATCTAGGGAGAAAGTATAGGAGGGAACAGAACAAGGGCAGCCTGAGCAGGTCAGTCAGTGAGGTGGGAGGGACCCCCAGTGATGTATAAAGGAAGCCAAATAAAGATTTTTTTTAAGAAGCAGATGGTCAGATGTGTCCCATGTTGCCAAGGGGTCCATTAGAGAGGATGGAGAAGTGACTATGTGATTCAGCAGCATGGAGGTGACCTTGATAAGATCACTCCCAGTGAATGGGGTAGCATGGGGGAGGGAATGGATTCTGAGACTGCAGAGAACAATTATAAACATTTTTTTTTGGGGGGGGATGAGTTCAAGACAAGGGGAAGCAGCCTAAGGGGGGGCATGGAGACTAGGTAGTTTGCATTTTAAGATAGAAGATTCTAGGGAATGTCCACATGTGATGAGAATGATCACGTAGAGAGTAAGGCTGGTACAATGACTACATGGGCAGTCTTGGCGCAACAGGACAGAATCCAGAGTTCAGTGGAGGAATCCACTCTGTCGAATGGGAGAAAGTGTAGGTACAGAGAAAGAGTTTTAGATTTGCTGACAAGAAAATGTGAGTGTTTGAATCTGATCATTTTTTGGTTTTAAGGTTTTATTATTTGACAGAAAGAGAGGGAGCCTGCACAAGTAGGGTGAAGGGCAGAGGGAGAGGGAAAAGCAGACTCCCCGCTGAGCAGGGAGCCCAATGTGGGGCTCATCATGCCTTGAACTTAAGGCAGAGGCATAACTGTCTGAATCACCCAGGCACCCTGAATTTGATCACTTCTATTGTGAGACAGGTAACCTGCTGGGAGTGACTTTTCACATATGTTTGTTCCTATGAAGAGCTGTGATGTGAATAATACATAGAGCTTACTCTGCTTGGCACTGTTCTAAGGGCTTCACACATCAGCTTATTTAATCCTCACAATAACTCTTCGAAGTGAATACTATAGTTTTTCCCAGTTTACACTGGGGGTAATTGAAGCACAGAGAGATTGAGTAACCAGTTAAAAGTCACACAGCTAGCTGGTAAGTGGCACAGCTGGGTTTTAAGCTCATTTTGGCTCCAGAGTCTATTCATTGAATATCTGTGGACTTTGACCTCTAAGAAGAACATGTAGCACTAGCACAGATAAAGATGACCGAGAATCCAAGAGTCAATCATAAGTAACCCTATATTAGAGAGATTCAAGGCCAATGTGATTATATATCAGATAAATTATAGAAGCGAGATGTGTTGGGTGGTTAAAAAAAATGAGGAAATGGCTACCTGAGATTGAATTTTAAACTCTGTACCAGCACTATGGACAACAATACATCTAGAAGGGATGAAGGTACTCCTGCACTGTGACTCCACAGTTCTACTCTGAGGCATATGCCCTAGTGACACTTGTACGCCAATGCACTGAAAAGCATTTACAGCAATATTCATAGCAGCATGCACAGTTCAGGAGAGCCAAAAGCTGCAACTAGTTTATGTGTCCCTTGCTTGAAGAACTAATAAGTTGTGGTATGTCTTTATAATATCACGTCATGCAGCAATTAGTATGAATGTACTACCGCTACATGAGACCTCTCCATGTAGCAAATTTAAAGTCACAGAACAAAACGTAGTAGGATTTCCTTTGAATAATTTAAAACCATGCAAAATGAAACAGTAAACCCAGAGATACATACCTAAACAAATAAGGAATACGGGAATGATAAACACAGAATTCAAGACAGTAATGACCTCTTGGGGAAAGTGAGAGGGATATGCGGTCAGACACATGGGGGCCTCAACGGTAACCTTAATTTCTATTTCTTAAACAAGTTGGTGTGTATATGGGTGTTTATTTCATAAGTAGTCTTTATGCCTGATACATGTTATAAACACTCCCTGTTCAACATTTAATTTTAATGTAATTAATGACAAACTATTTATTTACTTATTTATAAAGATTTTATTTATTTATTCATGAGAGATACACATAGAGAGAGAGAGAGGTAGAGACACAGGCAGAGGGAGAAGCAGGCTCCATGCAGGGAGCTCGACATGGGACTTGATCCTGGGACTCCAGAATTACGCCCTGGGCCAAAGGCAGGCACTAAACCACTGAGCCACCCAGGAATCCCCCAAACCTGATTTAATTAAAAAACCCAAGAGTGTCTTGTTAAGCATCTAATGTGTATTAATTTCTGGTGGCATCAGAAACAATTATCACAAACTGGGTGGCCTAACAAAAGCAAAAATGATTATCCTTTGTCCTGCCTGTGGAATTCTGGGAGTCTAGCAACCTTCTTTCATTTTGTCCTGTTTCTGTCACTTTGGGTCAAACAGGCATCATTTCTGCTTGTGTAACAATCTCAAAAACCCTGTGGGTCTCCTGTGTATGTCAAGGGGACTCATGCAATGGGACGAGGGGCTCCTCCACAGATCCTTCCTGATGGTCTCATCTCTACCCTTGGCTTCTGCTCCAATGGCTACGCCCTTGGCTTTCTCTTCATGGCATTCCTTCCTCAGCATCAATCTCCTAATTTGGGCATCCTTTACAGTCTGAATTGGCTAAAAATCTCCCAAACTGTCAAGTTCAGTTTCCTTTTTGCTTCACGGTTTTTCTATTTATCTCTGTCGTCTCAAATGTTACTACAGGTTACAAGAAGAAACCAGAGCACGTTCAATACTTTACTTGGAAATCTCAGCAAAATATTCAAGTTCTTTGCTTCCAAGTTCTACTTTCCATGTAACTAACTATAGGACATAATTTAGCTAGACTTTCTGCTATTACAGACCAAGGATCCTCTTTCCTCCAGTTTCCAAAAATATTTTCCTTATTCCCTTCTGAGTCCTCACCAGCAGGGCCTTGAAA